CTGCTTAGACTACACTGTTTATTTCTCGCGCTTGTTTTCAGAATCTGAGTCTGAATCTGAATCAGGAGTGCACTCTGGCCGTACCCTTCGACTACACTATTTATTTCTCGCGCTTGTTTTCGGAATCTGAATCTGAATCTGAATCTGAGTGCACTCTGGCCGCACCCGTACCCTTAGGATACATGAGACAAAATTAAGGTTATTCTAATAAATAAGTAAGACATAAAAGTTATTTCATTGTAATGCCGGCACTCCACTTGGATATTCATTAATGTTTGCTATTTGTAAACTTGACATTAGTCTGCAATTAAATGCACTTTTGGCCAATTTGGCATGATTGGTTCAAAAAAGATTGATAAGGACAGACTCATGTCATGTTTACAAATAGCAAACACGAATAGCCAAGTCTAGTGATGTTAAGCAATATTTTCATTTTCGTGTAAAAAGCAACTACATAAGTACTTAATTATAAAAACGCCATCTATGCGTTAATGGAAAAAATACTTTGGTTTCTCTGTTAGTTCCGTAATCAACTGCAGCATCACCTTTTAAGAGCGCTAGTATCGCGTAAATAACAGTGTTGCCATATACAAAAAAAGCGATTGTTAGTAGCTTTATTGATTTCATTCGTAAATACTATTGAGTAAGAAAATAATGACAATATTACTGCACAACTTAGTTATTAAAATAAAAAGATATAATTTTAGATATTCAATTATAATTTATAATGTTTAGTACCTTATAAGCTTGAAAAAGCAAATTGTTTTAAGAAATTCTTTACTTTTACCATTAATAATAAGATATTTAAAAAAATGTTATGCTCTACTGGTCATTCTTTGTCTTTTTTATTACATATTCATGATAATTGTTGTATATTAATTTATTGTGTTTATTTATTAATTTTGTATACAAAGAAATTTGAAATAAAGCTTCATATAAAAACAAAATTAGTATCAGCTTCAAAAGTAAAAAAAATATTTAATCCAGTATAAATATTTTTCTTTCCTTTCCATATGAGACATTTTACCCAATTCTGACACGATTCATTAAGCCTGCAATAAAAATTGTCAATTTCTGTAAATTTCATTCTGTATTTAGAATGAAAAAGGTACACTTTTCATGCTATATTCAGAATAAAAGGGAAAGACTGTTGTCAAATTTTGATTTATGTTTAGAGAATGTCAGAATTAGGCCTATTGTGCATCCTTACAAATATTTATTGAAACTAGATTAGAATAACTTCAATAAACATCGGTTCATTTTAAGTGGTTAGTTTTATTTTTATAACTCATTTTATATCGGTTATGTTATCTAAACAATCATTTATAAACGAGCGAAAAAAACTCCACAACATTAAAAGCATAATGAAACAACATTTACAAATCATTATGTTGTTACAACGTCAATACAATCATGATTTATTTAATATAGAAAACCTGTTAGAATGATTGGAATAGCTCAAACCCAAGCATTTTTGTCTGTAATATAATCAGACACTTTGTAATAAGCTTTTTTAATAAGTGCTTTTTTTATACTATCTTTGAATTTATTTATGCTTAACTCTTGGATATTGCTTGGGACTTAATTGTATAAGCGAACACAAAGATCTTTAAATAAGTTATTGATTTTGTGAAGCCTAGTAGCAGGTAAAGTTAGTTTATTTCTGTTTCTTGTATTAAGTGTATCACTGTTTTTACAAATTAATATTTTTCTTACAAGTAATAAATTTTCGTAAATGTAATGTGATGCGACCGTCATTATACCAAATTCTTTAAACCTATCTCTTAATGAATCCTTAACTTTAAGATTATAAATTGATCGAATAGCTCTCTTCTGCAGCACAAAAATAGATTGAATGTCGGCGGCATTTCCCCACAATAAAATTCCGTACATCATTACACTATGGAAATAACTAAAGTACACTAATCTGGCCGTATCTACATCCGTTAACTGGTGTATCTTCATTACGGCATATGCTGCAGAGCTAAGTTTATTTGACAATTTATCAATATGTTGGCCCCATTGAAGCTTAGAACCTAAAGTAATCCCTAAGAATACTGTGGTGTCTACAAGGCAAATATTCCTATCCTTTACATTGACACTGGTTTTTACCTGTTTTACATTAGGTAATACAAATTTCATACATTTCGTTTTTCCTTCATTTAGTAACAAATTATTAACATTAAACCAGTGGACTACCTTAGAGATACAACTGTTCACGTCGTCAATAACTGTTTCCTTACGTTTGAGTTTAAATAAAAGTGATGTATTATCCGCGAACAATACTATCTCATGCTTATCTCTAACATAGTAAGGCAAGTCATTAATATAAATTAAAAATAAGAAAAGACCAAGGATTGAGCCCTGCGGAACACCCATTTTAATCGGCGAACCCGCAGACTTATTGCCATTAATGTCAACCCTCTGAATCCTATCCATCAGGTATGACGCAATAAGATCCAGATCAGTATCTCTAAATCCATAGTGGTGGAGTTTCCTGAGTAATTTTTCATGAAAAACGCAATCAAAAGCCTTGCACAAGTCGCAAAACATACCTAGAGCGCCCTGCGAGTTCTCCCAGGGGTCGAAAAATTGTTGTATAAGTTCAACACCGGCATCGGTTGTTGAACGACCCCGTGTAAAACCAAATTGTTTACAGTGAAGTATATTATATTTATTAAAATGTGATTGCATTTGATCTAACATGATATTTTCGAAAATTTTACTAAAGGTGAGTAGCAAAGAAATTGGTCTAAAGTTTGTGGGGTCTGATGTACTTCCCGTTTTATGCAAAGGAGTTATTTTACTGTAATTCATGAGGTCAGGAAAAACACCACAGTCATCACAATCATTAAATATGCAAGCTAGAATAGGAGCTATTGTCTCAATTACCGATTTAGAAACATCAACGGAATTGCCCCACAGAGCCGTGGTTTTCTTTTTATTTAATTTGTGAAACTTTTTAATTACATCTTAAACGTTTTAACGTTTTGATTACAACCCTTTTATTATCAATATTTAAGTTATAATTATTATTGCAAGTCTTGGATTTTCCAGTTTCATCGTTTATAATATTCGATGTCGTTTTGATTTTGTCATTACTGTCCTTAATCTTTGAACTTAAGTAATTTGATTTTGCTAAGCAGCATACTTTTTTAAACAATTTAGAATAGTTACGAACATGCTTAAATTTTTCACTAGTGTTACAGTTTCTTACATTATAAAGTTCATAAAGTGTCCTTCTACTTTTATGAATTCCAGGCGTAGCCCACTTAGTAAAAGTTACTGCATCATTAACACATATTTTTTTGGGTACAAAAACATTATTAAATTCAGTGCAGTATATATTAAAAAAATCATTATATAAATCATTTGGACTGTCTTTATATTTTAAATAACACATTTTTCTATCTAATTGAGTTTTAAAACGTTCCACACGATTAGCAGACTATGGTACAACAGTGATGTGTTTTTTGTCACCTGCTTGAGCTGATATGGAAATGTAATCAACTGGCCACAATGATCACTATCTAGCTTATTAATAATTTGATTTTTCTGTGGTATGATATCTGTATATATATTATCAATACAAGTGGCCGAAGTGGCAGCTATTCTAGTAGGCTCAATGAATAACTTTTTCAGATTGTATGATTGAAATATTTTTTTTATTTTAGTACTCGAACTAGATTTTTCTAATAAATCAATATTGAAGTCACCACAGACAATCAACCGTTTGCCTGTAGTGTAAGTTTTCTTAAGAGCTTCATCCATGATAGCTTCAAAACAATCATACAATGCTGATGGAGGTCTGTATACGCTCAATACAACAAGCCGGTCCAGTTCCTCACAGGCAATTTCTATTGTTCACTCAACCGAGAGGCTCACAATATCTCTTCGTTCCTTAAATTTTAATTTTTTATTCAATAATATTAAAGAGCTACCGCGAATTGCATTTTCTCGATTCAAAAAACTACCAACCTGATGATTATTAAAATTAAATATATTCTGACTATATCTAGTGCTGTTTTCCTTATGCTTAACTTAAAACATGTTAATTCGTAATTGATATTTGTAATTGCGACAGCAGTGGCTCCTATTTTCACCTATAAATCATTACAAGGATATAAGTACTGCTGGCAATTTGTTTAAAAAGCAATAATATGAATTGCCATTTTAAGCTTATACGTCAAACAGCTGCCAATTAAGTCAAGACACAAGACATTTTTCAGAATTCAGGAAATCACATCCCTTTATAATAGATTAATGTATACTTATCACGGTACATACCTATATCGCACAAATTAATGTACAGTAAATATTATAGTAGAATTTCATAGGTTGTAACAGTTATCCCTCTTACCTCCTGTCAAAAAGTTTTAGTTGACGTTTGACGCATGGAGTTCGATTCTATGATCCGTTGTCAAACGTTGGTCTGTTTGTGTTCCTCACAGGCAATTTCTATTGTTCACTCAACCGAGAGGCTCACAATATCTCTTCGTTCCTTAAATTTTAATTTTTTATTCAATAATATTAAAGAGCTACCGCGAATTGCATTTTCTCGATTCAAAAAACTACCAACCTGATGATTATTAAAATTAAATATATTCTGACTATATCTAGTGCTGTTTTCCTTATGCTTAACTTAAAACATGTTAATTCGTAATTGATATTTGTAATTGCGACAGCAGTGGCTCCTATTTTCACCTATAAATCATTACAAGGATATAAGTACTGCTGGCAATTTGTTTAAAAAGCAATAATATGAATTGCCATTTTAAGCTTATACGTCAAACAGCTGCCAATTAAGTCAAGACACAAGACATTTTTCAGAATTCAGGAAATCACATCCCTTTATAATAGATTAATGTATACTTATCACGGTACATACCTATATCGCACAAATTAATGTACAGTAAATATTATAGTAGAATTTCATAGGTTGTAACAGTTATCCCTCTTACCTCCTGTCAAAAAGTTTTAGTTGACGTTTGACGCATGGAGTTCGATTCTATGATCCGTTGTCAAACGTTGGTCTGTTTGTGTGTTCGTTATTTTTTTATGAACGTGCTTTTGTAAATGGTGAACAGTTAAAGCGTTCCGGCATTCCTATTATTATTGCTTACCGAAAAATAAATTTTGAAAGCATGATGAAAACAAAAGTTATGTAGGGTTTTTAGAAAGCCAAGACCACTGGTTATTGTTATAGAATCCATATTAACTAATAATAATGGTGAAAGATCGTCGTAAATCTCGGTCAATCTCTGTTTAGCTCATTGTCTCAAGCAGGTGTTATGTGAAATGTGATCTAGTGCTTCATTTTGTAAGAATTTTTAGACCTACAGCAGGTATGTATGTTAAACATTACCTCTATCAGCTGATTCAGTTGCTAAGATTACGAATACTTCGAAATGTCCACTGTACAAAAAATACGTTATCATAAAATGAACAAGCAGCACAGACATTCTTATAAACATCCCAAAGATTCATATTGTTCTTAATGAACTTCAATATATTTCATGATAATTTTTTCACAGTTGTATTTCTCAAAATTACGTTTATCATAATCTGTCATGATTTATCGCGCAAAATTTATATTTAATAAACACAACTTGTTTATCTTATATCCCATAAACAACTATGCATAGTTTGTGTGAAATGTAACTAACAACTGTGAAGTAAAATAAAATTATACTTTCCCACAACTGTAGTTATCACTTAAACCTAGTTTTTAAAAATTCCGGATAACTTTTGTTAATAATTTACACAGGTGGAGGATCAGCAACCATGTCTGCAGATGAGTCCAGTGTACGCGTTGCAGTAAGGTGAGTTTCATGGACATTTTCCTTTAATTTTCTTTAAAATTACTTCTTGACACTGAGATAATTTTTGCTGTTGCTGATAAGCACTTTTAAAGAAGAGTGTTAGTATTTGGTTTCCACAAATTATATTGGGTCTTACTGCTTTCCAGTTAGTCAAACAGAATCTCAGTTGAAAATAAACAATATGTTTCCTTATTTCTATAGAATTGGGTTGATGGGAATGGCAATGTCAAATGTTACAAATTTTGTCTAAACATCTTGGTTTGAAATTATTATATGTAGGGTCTAAAAGCTAAATCAGCCACTGTCCCATATATACTCTTTGGTCAGTGGCGGATTTGCTTCTAGATCCCACATTGTATAACATTTGATTTTGATCCATTTTAATTTCATCCAATAATTTAATAATAAGTATAGAAAGTGACAAGCATTTTATATATATATATATTATGCAGATTTAATAAAAAATCACAAGCTGTAGTAGTGAGTAGATACTGTTTTCTTAAATCAGAAATTGAAAGATTGATATCATAGTCATCCATAGAAAAACTCAGCTCCTTAATTGTCTTTAAAGTACTTACTATGAAATATTGTTTGTTCCGTCACACCATTTAATTTCTACAATACTAAATGTAATGTATACCATCAAAAAATATCATTAATAACAAACAAAGAACTTAAAATATTGTCTCTAATTTGAGTGATGTGAACAAAACACTGTGAATTACTCTACTTTTATTAGTTTTTATTTATTACTATAATGGTATAAACTCTAAAATTACTTTAAACTCACCTAATAATGGCAGACTTTAAAGTACAATAAATGTCAAACAATAGGCAAACACTATGCAAATTTTTGACCCAAAGACCTATTACAACTCTAAACACTTTTGTTGACTCGTGTAGTAATATTAAAAAGCATAGTGTTGTAATACTTCTCAAGTGCTATTTCTAGCAATATTTACCACTTTTTAGATGGAATATTGACGTTAGTCATCATTTTACTGTGTATTATGTAATCATATTGTTGTCCATTTCAAATGTCTCTGTTAGAGAGTGCTGGAAAGGAAACCTTTTTTAGATCTTCGTCACTACCATCATCATCAGCCTTTTAATGTCCCACAGCTCCAAACACTGCTCCCTTTTGAAGATAAATAAATAAATATTTCCAACACTCACACCAATTAGCCTAGCCCCAAACTAAGCACTGTAAGTGTTTGTGTTATATGTTACTAGGTTAACGGATAGAATATATATACAGTACATAGATTTCTATATAAGTATATTTATATAGAAATACATATTAATCATCCATGACAGGACAACATATAGTTGGAGTACTATTGCTCGTATTTATCTTACAAACATCTGCCCCCACCGGGATTCGAACCGGGGACCTCTCGAGTAGGCGACACCTTAAAACCCGGCGTACAAACCATTCGGCCACGGAGGTTGTTAAAGAAGAGGGTGAAGAAGCGATAACCCGCCACAAGGGCCCTTACGGGTTGGTGCTAACGACTGCATATGCAACCAGCCCCCTAGCATGAGCACCGCTATATGATATATATCGGGATTATAATGAAAATTGTGATGCTCATGCTACGGGGACAGGCCCGTAGCACGGAGGAAATGGAGATTAATAATTTTTATTCACACATCCTAATAAGCTACCATTGCGAAAGTTGTTCAACTTCCGCGATAGCAGGCCAAACGCACTAACCACTGCGCCATTAAACCCTATTAAGACTAGATTTTATACTGAACTAACTGGAGATATTATACTAATTCATGTTCTTTACCGGAATGCTACCATGAACCTTGTTTTTTGCGAGCCCCCTATATTTCGGCACTGTTCCAAGCGCCAACCATAATCCCCGAGCAACTCAGTCGCTGTTGTTCCGTATTGGTGGCGGATGATAATGTTATAGAATATTAAAGTTTAAAAAAATACAACTGGAGATATTTTATTCAGTGAGACAATAATATTCTTGTCTACATAGTCAATTATTTACAACTTAGCCCTTCAGTGGTACTTAAGTTAATATGATATGGTGCAACGCGTGCGGCTCCGCATTTTCGCAACTTCCTTCTGTTATAATGCATACGTATCTTTCAATTACATACCTTCTACCGTGCTTATTTAATGTTACGCATCGCTGATTTTGTAAAGGGCTATTTTATTGACGTGAAAGGGGTGGCAAATAGACGTATGACTAATAATCTGTGGTAGGACGTAGGGACTATCAGCAGCGGCGTAGCTTTTTATAAAATTCTGTCGACCCTTATATTATTTGGCACAGTTAGTCCAACAGAAATTACTAAAACTTATTAGCTGTTAAGACATACTAGCAAACCAGTGAACCAAAAGTTCACCAAAACCTGATTTAAAAAAAAAATGTATTTAATTAATTGAGAACTTCGGAGATTTTGTGTGGTTTCGTTTGAAATTCGTGATTTCTCGAAAACCGGAAGTACTACTACGTTACTACGGTACTACGTTACTCAAATCCGGTTTTTAGTCTTATCAGACTATTCTTAACTTATAACTTAAACATTCTCTTTATCTATCTCTTACGGTTTGGCCGCTGAAACAGCACCACAGACAGACGGACGGACGGACGGACGGACGAACGAACGGACTTGTCTAATAGATAAGAGATACTGCTTTGTTTACAATATGCTTCTTCTTATTTAATGATCGTTATTCAATAGCCAGTATTAAAATGAGATCCAGAAGTAAAAAAAAACTAAGAAAAAAAATGGCAAAAAAGATAAGATACATTTCGTTGTAGACAAGCAAAACAACCGTTGAATCTCAATGACAGGCTGAGGAGTGCCGAGAGTGATGTAAGCGCCGCCGCCGCCGTTGTTTGACTTGCTCAACAATTGTCACAAATCGACGCCTACTAATAAAACGTTAGTTAATACTTAATCATTTCTGCATGCAAAATGCATAACACATTTGACTCTACCTTATTTGATATGCCATAATGTATAATGTGATTCTAGTTTATTTAGACTTCATAAATGACAGTATTATTGTGCTTTATGACTGCTCACAGGGTATACGTCAACCGTTTTAACCTCTCTCCTCTAAAGTTTTATATACTTGATCCCCTATTAGTACGACGTTGATCCCCTATTTTTACCCTTTATAGAAGGAATTCCTAAAATGAATTATAACAGTCAACTTTAGTTTATTAACAATTTCAGATTCTATCTTTAAAATTGATAAACTTTCTTACAAAAATTCAATCTCCAATTTTAACCCTATAAGTGATTAATTTTGGGAAATCCTATATATAAAGAAAATTAAGAAATAATTCCATGCGGACCAGACAGCAGACGGGACTCGCACCCTTCGCTATCCGGGCGAATGCACTGACCATTATGCTACCGCGGCCCTGATGGCCGTGTCGAATTTTCTCTATAATATAAATATTCTCTATATAGCACTTCTTAGGCTACAAGGCAGCGCCATCTCTTCGCACTGTAAGTAACCCACAATTTTAGATAGCGAAGGGTGCGGGTTCGAGTGCCGTCTGTTGCCTGGTCCGCGGATAATATTTTCTAGTAAACATTTTCTTTAGATTAAAACATCTTGCCAAACTTAATTACTTTTTGCCCAGATGCCTACTTCATTATGACCATCTGATTTAATCTAAGCTACATATCAGCGAGCAAAATTTCAGCTCGATTCGTTTACTAGCTGTGTGTTGATAGATCAGTAAGTCGTCGGTCAGTAACGAACGGTTACCTTTACTTGTGACCGCCTAGGCTATAGTTTTTGTTCACGCACAATACGGGCATGTATCATAGACATCAACCTTCAGTGATTTTATTTTTCTGTGAGCTTATGGTGATATAAGCGTGAATATCCGCTCATTCGTTTATGAGATCATAGGCGCGGCGTGTTTTAAATAATCTTAATTTCCATCTTCACTTATCACTAAGATACGATCAAAACAAATTTTTAACTAAATTGGATTTTGTTAATAGCAAAGTCAGTCTACTATACATAACAGTACTAAACACGTTTATGCTCTCATTTCGAAGTAAAAAAAATAAGCACTGCTATATTTGGTCTATATCAATACCCAACCACGTTTCCTCGACTGTAGCTATTTTTAGTTTCAAACACTGGATGTTTATTCGTATCTGAAATGAGAAAGATCAAAAAGGTCCCCGTCATCGCCTCGTCTATAAACGATCGGAAGCGGTCTATAATTCTATGCTTCATCTTTGGCTGTTTCCAAGAGGTTTTCAAACTCATGGCCATGACAAAGCACAGAAAATCTAATTTATCCGTTTCTGATTGTTTGTAGTTTGTAGCAAACCTTAGTTGACGTATTTGAACATTAAATTGCCTTTTTATAGAGCTTACCCAACATTGATTTTGACGAATTATTAAAGTTGTTAAAATCTAAAGAAAAGTTTACTAGAAAAAAATACTAAAGTTGTTATTAATCTTCCGGTTACATTCAATCAATTGAATTTGATGCTTCTCAAAGTTACTTGTTATCTTATTCTATCACTATCCGAAAGGAATAAAACTAAAAATTTAATCTGTTGGAAGTCTTCAAATATTTTGTAAACATGTGATTAATGGAATTTAAAATTAAAACTAACAATATTTTTGTGTAATACATAAAACCCCAAAATTCTAGAATATTCTTAAAAGAAATCAAATCCTCCACTTTTACAACCCAGTCTAAAATTCAATAAAATCTTTGTCGAAGAAATTAAATCCTCTTTTACAACCCAGTCTAGAATTCAATAAAATCTTTTCGAATTTGGGTTTTGGGTGGGTTGTAAAAAATAAACTAGTAACAAATTTTCAGACTCACTCTAGCTTTTTTATTTTTGTAATAACTCTTAGAAATATTTCAGTACTGATACTATTCTTAACTCATTTCCTCTATGTTTTAATAATTATGCTCTGGTTTCTACACAGCTGCGTGAAAAAATGTTATATTTATTTATAACGCACTAAATTCCATTTT